TAACTACTACTTACTACTTTGCGGATTTTCACTTATCGTAGGTCTTTCGGGGTATGGATCCCCTGCAATAATTGAGGGACTACTGTATTATAAATAGACCATAATTTTGATGGTTTCCATTCATCCATTATCTTTACCTGCTTCTTCCTTTTTTCAGGTCGCTGGGGTCACTGGTGCTCATGTCCAACTATCACTGTGTGAGAGGCGGGGTAGATTATTATAATAAGCTTTAAAAGCCATAGACCATAAATCTATTGTGTTGTAACAAAGTAATTATTCATTTTCTCTTCTCCTGGTATCAAACGTATGCAGTGTTCCTATTACAAATCATAGTTCTAAATAATATAACAGCTAAGATAAAAACATAATATTTATACTTGTGTTAAGAATATTAGCATTATTTTGTTTGGTGTTATTCGATATTTAGGTATTGCTCTATTTTTCTTAGGACTAGAAAGGAAGGATTTCATCTGTCTATTGGGTGTAAATGTGCCATAAAATAGTAAAAAGGTAATAGTTTAGAAATGAAACAAAAAAAAACAACTTTTACCAAAACAGTATAACACTATGTAAGGTAGGTAAATAACTTTAAAAATGACACAATTTCCTATGTTGTTCAACTGGTTTGCAGCGTGATCCAGTTCTCTAATGTGAAAATATTTCTCAAAAAACCTGCGGGGCTAAAAAGAAGACATTGTTCGTCACTTCTACTGGATTTTGTCCGCTCCCAGTTGAGTCAGCGTTTTGTTTACATGAACTCCCTGGTGGCTAATGATGAGAGGGGAACAGGTCAAGTGTGGAGTGATGCTTCGAGTCTCTCCGGAGGGGCAGCGGCAGACGGAGATGCAGTTCAGCATACAGTATTTAGAACGCAACATCAGTCTGTGGCCTGCTGCTGCCACAAGATCCCAAAGTTCATGCAAGAAACACTAATTGCCAAATTTTGACGCAACTTGCTTTATTCAATGTCATCCCAGTGCTGAGCAAATTAACTGCATCCTCTTCTACTCCTCCTGTTTCAGCTCCTGCTCGTCTGCTGCAGGGAAAGAAAGCATAGGTAAGCTGCCTTGTTTCCTTCTCATTTGTGTACACGGCTCATGACGCAATTAGAAGAAATAGGCATGCAAATGTGTTTTCTTCCCCAGGCGAGCACTACAAAAAGAAAAACTGTGAAGCACACAAACAGTTTGGTGACAGTCAGGGCGAGCTGAACGGAGCCTGCACATATTTCTACGCTGATGAGGCCAAATGTGACCAACACATGGAAACATTTATAAAATGCATCAAAGCATCCGGTCAGTAAACAGAACCTGAACTAAATCAGTAACACATCTTGTGTTTGTGTATTCCTTTATTGAGGTCAAGTTTGAGCATTGTGTGATCTGTTGTTTTTAATTTCCTACTAGTTTAGATGTTTACTTCCTAAATTATTATTGTTAATCTCTTTGCATCATGATCAAATTATGTCTTATCCGTAGGTGGGAGTTCAATGGATGGCTTTTCTGCCATCAAAGTGTCTGCACTAGGACGACCTCAATTTCTGGTAGGCTCTAAATGGTGATTAAATGCTCAGTGTGACAATCTAGCTCAAAGTATAGCAGCAGGAGTGGGATAAGCTGAGATCCTATTTTTCTCTTTTATTAAAGCTTCGGTTCTCAGAGGTCCTTGTGAAATGGCAGCGATTTTTCACATTCCTGGCATCGCAGCAGGGAAAAAATGGCATGGAGGCCTTGGAGCAGAGACTTGAGCTGTCACAGCTGCAGGTAGTGTTTTTCTCCACTTGCACTTCTGTTCCAGTGCTATTTAATTATGTTACATATGTTTCCTAATCACAACCAAACAGCATGAGGATCGTGCTGTATGTGCTGCTGCAGTGTGAGCTGTTCAGTGGCATAACTCAAGTTTGACGGGAAAATGTCTGCACCTGCACACCAACTCACCTGTGTATGAAGATTGTAGAGAGCAGGCACGCTGCTAATGCAAACAGCCAAATAGTTAATTGCAGCTAGGTTGTACATGTGCATAGGCCTGTTACGAAAACAAATTTTGCTGGGCGATGCATGGCGGGCGCTCGGTGTGGTTTGAGCTCTTTAGCATAGCATTTTTCACGCAAAGCTTTTAATAAAAAAAAAATCAGTAAACAAGTTCTCAGCCCCTTTTGGCAGCGAAAAACAACATTTTTCATGAAGGCACGCGTTCCAACTGTGAATTTTGGAGCTTCGACAAGACGAAGGTTTTTCCCCCGGGGTAGACCTTTTAGCTTTGTTCGTAGCTTAGCTTCTCTGTTTAGCTGCTTTTAACAATCAGAAAAGGTGATTTTGGACAGTTAAAACAGATTTTAACAAGAAAAAAGAAAGGGAGGGTTAAGTAAAGAGGACCGGAGTTGAGCCTTTTGTCATCCAGTGTCTTCAGTAGAAAGAGAGAGACGAAGAAACAATAAAGCTGATAAAAGAAAGTGAGGTAGATCATTTTAATTTATCATGCGATTATATTGTTTATCGCGACAGGCCTACTTGTGCACATTAGAGCTTTTGACTCTTTTACTTAGTGTCTTATAAAACATTACAGATGCCTTTTATGAGAAACATGAAAGTCACTGTTGTTATTTGCGCTAGCGTTAGTAAGCCATAATCACTCTTGTAAAAAGTTTCAGTTAAAAAAAATAGAAATCAACTCAAATCATTTGCACAGGTTCTAAATAAATTAATACAAGCTTTGTAATGTATGATTTATTATTAGATTCCCAGTTCCCACCAGAAATTCTACTCATAATGAATTTACATATACAGTAGTCCCTCACTTATCACGAGGGTTACATTCCAGACACCCCCAGGATAAGTGAAAATCTGTGAAGTTGAGATGTTATATTTATTTCAGTATATATATATATATATTTTAAGGCTTTATAAACCCTTCCCACGCTCTTGTCATGTTCTTAACAATGTTCTCCATCCACCCATCCATCCATCCATCCATTTTCTTCCGCTTATCCGGGGTCGGGTCGCGGGGGTAGCAGCCTAAGTAGGGAGGCCCAGACTTCCCTCTCCCCAGCCACTTGGGCCAGCTCTTTTGGGGGAATCCCGAGGCGTTCCCAGGCCAGCCGAGAATCATAGTCCCTCCAACGTGTCCTGGGTCTTCCTCTGGGCCTCCTTCCGGTGGGACGTGTCCGATGTGTCGAACAATGTTCTAAACTCTCTAAATGCTCTAAAAAGAGCACAGCGAAAGAGAGCAGACAGACTGACGCTACAGTTACTGAGCCAATCAGCGCCTGGGGGTGGACTGGCCATCGGGAGCACCGGAACATTTCCCGGTGGCCTGGCCCGCTCAGTGATTGCAGAGGAGGACTAAAGGCTTGGTTCGGGTTGCGCTTGATTGATTTAAATAAACAATCCATACCGCTCACTCTGGTATCCGCCTCACTGAAGCTCCCACAGCAATTATGGGGAAAGACAGACCCCACCCCCACCTTTCTCTTTCTGAGGCAGTCGGTCACATAAGAGCAGAGACACAACAGGTTGTGCGCCGGCCTGTTGTGTGTCTCTGCTCTGCTGTGACAGACTGCCTCAGAAAGAGAAAGGAGGGGGCCCATCGGTGATCACTAAGCGGGCCAGACCACCGGGAAACAATGTGTACTATCTTACAATGAAAACCCGCGAAAGAGTAAGTCCACAAAAGTCGAACCGCATATTGTGGGACTACTGTACTTAACTAGCTTGAAATGTAAATGATTTGGGATTGCTTGGCAAACTCTTCTTTTAATTGATCTCCCTCATCCATAGTCACTGATTGTTTTGGTCATTTTAGTGAGGTGTGGAGCAATCAGTGTGGGTATTGTAAGTTCTAAATCAAGAGTTGTGTGTAATGCTGCATGATGGAAGATATGACGCTGCTGGAAGACAGCATGAGTGGAAGAATGAGTAGGGAATAGGTGGCAAATACTGACTGGCCTGTGTCTTGTCAGGGGAATTTTGGTCAAGGTTTATGGATGTTTTTTAACTATATGGCTGAGAATGTTATCTGTCCATGACCTGCCCACAAACCGTGTGTTTGAGTAAGCAGAGAGAGCTGAGTGAGGAACTGATTTGATACTGCATGTGCAGCTGGTACTCCAAGGTTTCCTCAGTCTACGAGCTCGGAGGAGCTGATAAACATCATAAAAACACTTCCCGCACACTGTCCGGTGCAGATACTCACGACCGGCCTTCAATGAAACATCTGTGTAAGCCTGTTGTGACTGTCTGTCCTTGCAAGTAAAACTCTGTTAAATAATCTTGTCCTGTCGTCGTGTGTGGCTTCTTTTAATAATTAAGATGAATAGAGGATATTTTTTAGCCAACATCCATGTCTGTATCAAGTAAATACATGTTCTTTGTTTCCTTGGTCTTTCCATGATTCTCTGCTGGCATTCACAAATCCACTGGCACAATTTGTGCTTTAGCATTCATAATGCTTTTCCATTGGTCAATATTTGGATGTAGATCTTGTTGACGTGTGCACATAAAAAAAAAATCAAATAAAAAAAATCTTTCAGACCTTGTTTCCAAAAGGACCTGGAAATATGTGTGTTTAAAACATTTGATTATATTTGGTGCTCAGAGTAGAGCCCTTTTTGTTGGCACACCGATTTTGTTGAGATTCTAAGCATTCATTTACAAATAAGGTCCAAGAAATGAAAACTTTATATTCCTTACAGGAATTCTTCATCAAACTTGGAGCAAAATGTGACTTCTATGGCTGGTTTATTAGAAATAAAGCAGAATCTAAAGGGTAAGCAAGAACACTTGGTTCCCAAGTTGGTGAAACAAATGTCTGCATGCACAAGAAGATACCGTGTATCTGCTTGCTGTGTACTTTGTACAACGATTCACAGAATGCATCATTAAAACTAGTGTCAGTAAAGCATATGCAAATGCCTTTTAAAATACAAATATGTATTTTTGTTTTTATTTACTTTAAAGCTTTAATAATTAAACAAGTAAAACATGTTTGCTGTAAGAAAGAAGACCATTTTAAGCCATTTTATTTTATTACATTTTATTGCGGGCTAAGCTGTGCATAATTGTTTTAATACCATTCTATCCTGCGCCCACAGGTACATCGATGTTCTCGACTGGAACAGCCTAATAGAAAACAGAGAAAACGCATCAGATCTGCTTGTGGTTCCAAATTTAAAGGTCGGTGAGATGTAGTGCTTTGAGAAAATAATTACTGACAAACAATAAATTAAGTATAATTCAGTTAAGTATGAGCAGATTGTTCCGATGTATTTTTATCAATGAAACAAAAGCAGGGGTAGTAATTTAAAAAAAAGTTCTAAATGTAATTGTATCCAAATTAAGTTAGACAAGTATTTTTGTCACTGGCTCCTGCTAGCTGCCATTAATTAATTAATGTTTGATACTTTTATTGAGAAACCATTTTTAGAGCAACTCTTAATATTTAACAATTAGTGAAACCTTTATTTGATGCTAACAACAAAGTCCATGCTCAATAATCCAGGTATAAAATCCAACATTTTTCAGTCAGGTCATTTGGACACTTTCTTTTTTTTACTTATTTGATGCCGTTCAAAACTGCTGCTCTGTGAACAACGGTGTTCAATTCAGCTTTAATTAATGAAACTTAACTGGCAACAAAAAACAAGAATTTAAATTTTATATTGGGCGAGTAGTGGGGCAGAGGTTGGAGAAGATGGGCTTGTGATCGGAAAGTCGCAGGTTCAACTCCCAGTACCGTGTCAACATCAAAATGTGGGTGGAAAAGGTTAAACACCCACACCTGTCTCCACCCTCATTGGCCCCACTTTGGGTCCCTGAGCAAGGCCCTTAACCCCACCATCTGCTCCCAAAAACAGGTCTCTCTTGAAAACGAGTCCAATGAGACTACCTGGATAAATAAAGGGTAAATGAAAAAATTAAAAAAAATATCCACTCATCCATCAATCAATCATTCACCCATCCAGCCATACATACATACATACATCAGAGTCAGAGAGTCAGAGATTCTTTATTGTCATTCGCACCTCATGTGGTACATGTGGTGGAGTGAAATTATGTACACAGGGTCCCAGTTACATCCAACAATCAAATGTATAAGAAAAACAGTAATAACATCTAAGATATGAACTAAGAAAAACATCAACTAAATATACACTAAGCACTCATAACATAAAACATTGAACATCAGCACAAACATGAACATGAGTCTGTGAGCAGATGTGCACGCATGAACACATCAACATTAAAACAGATCAGCAGCAACATGAAACAGATCAGCAGCAACATGATATGGTTTTTCACAGTGATTATTCTAGTTAGAGATTCATGAGTCTAACAGCCTCAGGGTAGAAGCTGTTCCTCAGTCTAGTGGTTCTACACTTAATGCTCCTCAACCTCCTTCCTGAGGGGAGTGGGGCAAAAAGTGTGTGTGCTGGGTGAGTGGGGTCCTTCATGATGCAGGTGGCCCTCTTCCTGCATCTGGAGGTGTAAATGTCTGTGATGGTGGGGAGGTTGACTCCAATATTCTTCTGTGCAGCCTTCACCACTCTCTGCAAAGCTTTTCTTTCTGCAGCTGTGCAGCCTCCATGCCATACGTTGATGCTGGAGCACAGGATGCTCTCCACTGCACACCTGTAGAAGGAGGTGAGGACTGAGCTTCCCAGACCAGCTCGCCTCAGCCGTCTGAGGATGTAGAGTCTCTGATGAGCTTTCTTGATCAGGCTGGTGGTGTTGTTGCTCCAGCTGAGGTTGTCATTCATGTGTACACCCAAGTACTTGTAGCTGTAGACCACTTCCACTGCAGATCCTCATGTTCAGGGGGGTGTAGGTGAGTTTGTTCCTTCTGAAGTCCACAATCATCTCCTTTGTCTTCTTCACATTGATGTGAAGGTTATTCTCTCTGCACCAGCTCTCCAGGTGTTCCACCTCCTGCCTGTAGCTGGACTCATCATTGTGATGCATCCCACCACCGCTGTATCATCTGCAAACTTTACAATGTGACAGCCTGGATGGGTAGCTGCACAGTCATACGTGAGCAGAGTAAACAGGAGGGGGCTCAACACACATCCTTGAGGAGAGCCAGTGCTGAGGGTTATGGTGGAGGAAGAGAAGTTGTGGATCTTCACTGACTGTGGTCTGTTTGTTAAGAAGTCTAGTACCCAGTTGCAAATGGAGGGGCTTAGTCCTAGTGTGGATAGTTTGTCCATCAGGGTTTTGAGGATCATGATGTTGAAGGCAGATGTGAAATTCACAAAGAGCATACAGACGTAGGAGTCTTTCTGCTCCAGGTGGGTGAGCGCAGTGTGGACCACAGAGGAGATGGCATCCTCTGTTGATCGGTTCTCACGGTATGCATACTGATGAGGGTCCTCGTTGATGTTGATGGTTGTTTTGATGTGAGTCATGACCAGTTTTTCGAAGCATTTAGTGACTATTGGGGTGAGGGCCACTGGCTGATAGTCATTCAGACCAGTCACTGTAGAGCTTTTTGGGACTGGGATGATGGTGGCAGTCTTCAGGCAGGTGGGAACTGTCTCCAGGGTCAGTGAGGTGTTAAAGATGTCGGCCAGCACCTCACAGAGCTGATCAGCAAAGTCTTTCAACACCTTCCCAGGGATGTTGTCTGGGCCGGTTGCCTTGTGTAGATTAATCCTCCTGAAAGTACTCCTTACTTCTGCTGAGGTCACACTGAGATGCTCTCCATTCAGTGGTGAGGTGAGTCTGATGCTGGATGGTCTGTTTGGGTCTTCAAAGCATGCATAGAACTTGTTGAGGGCATCAGGCAGAGATGGGTCTTTGGGGCATTGTTCACTCCTTCCTTTGTAATCTGTTATGCACTTAATGCCCCTCCACATGCTCCGAGGGTCTTGTGAGGTGAATTGACCCTCAATCCTCTGTGCATATGTGGCCTTGGCCTTCTTAATACCAGCTACCAGCTCTTTCCTTGTCCTTCTCAGCTCCTGTGAGTTTCCAGACCTGAAGGCAGTGTTCCTGGCTTCCGGCAGGTTGCGCACCTCTGCATTCAGCCAAGGTTTTCTGTTCGGTTAACTTTTAACATATCTTATGATGGAGACCAATTCACCCATCCATCATTCCCTTCATCTATCCATTCATCAATACATCCAACCATCCATTCATCAATACATCCAACCATCCATTCATCAATACATCCATC